ATATCTGCATTTATTAAAACGTTCGCGTTCTATGTCCAAAAGAATTATCAGCCACGAAAATATCGTCGGATTTTCCTGATTGTTCCGTCGTGTTACGATCGTCCACAATTACGCTGACGCAACAATGTTCAGAAACGAATCTGTTTGGATCGATGGAAATCGAGCGGAATTTCGTTAGCGGAATTTCGCGAAAAGAATTATGCATAACCGTCCCGGTAGCGTAATTGCTTTCGCTGGACAAATGGTGCCAGCGAAAACGCACGGTTTATGTAAATACGATTCTAGGGTGAAAACGAAAGTGTCGTCGCGGTCGTTGGAACGTTTGACGCATAATTAGTCGCATTCCAATTATGTGTCTTCCTTTTTCTTCGTTCGACCGAATCGATATCTCAACGGCCCAACTTTCCATGGAAATCCAACAGTTCGATAAATAACCGGTCTGAGGATTTGTTACCTTGACCGTGTACGCTAATAGATTATGAACTATTCGCCTTTCTTACGTTACTTAGGAAGACTCAAAATGAAAGGTAGAAAACATTTCATTTTTCATTTCAAAATTTGATTTCTTTCCACTCAAGCGATTCCTTCTAGATTTTTGCAAAAGTAACTTAGCAAAAGTAAGCGTTGCATAATTGACAGTGCTCAGTAGATATCTCGCAAAACAAAACCAGGAAAACTACAAGTTAACGAGGTCTGCTCTAACAAGTTTCTTGAAAGAAACTATTAATTTCTTCTTATATAGGCCTGTGTGTAACCTTAACCTGGGAATACCTGCGCCTTATTTAGAAACTTGAATTGAATTCAATTTTTCATAGAACCCTTCAATTTACCACGGAAACGAACGTACGAACAATGGCGCAAAATGTGACACGACGAAAGTAAATTTCACACTCATAATTACCGGTTTAGAATGTCGAGCAGACTCGTGAAACGAGAGCCAAGGAACTCGCGAACAATTGGATTCTCATGAAAAAACTTTGTTCCTCTTGGCTCGAATCGTCGTGAACCACGCAACGCCTAGATATCTAGAAACGATAAAGCGATGGAACTTGCGATGGTTAGGTGTTCTAAGCATTTCTCCTTTTACCTGTTTGTGGGTAGTTGTTTCTAGAATGTTTATATAGTTTTATTAACCGTTGTAGATTATTTTTTCTCGCTGTTTAGGCCTTATCTTGTAACTTATTATAACAAAGAGAACCGTAGCTAATGAGTGCAGTCTGTATCGATTGTATATTTTTCTTTTTAATTTTAATACTTTGAGGCACACGGTTTGAAAGAAAAATAAAACTCAAGCTACACAGAAAAACAAGGCCAAAAAAAAAATGAAATTTGATATATATTAATTATTTTGATACAGATATTAACACGTGCAATCTTCATTAGAAAAATGAGATTTGAAATTTAACTTTTTCACAACGTTGTTATAACATTTGTACATCCAAGAAATTGATAATTCAGCTTTTTCTGATCGTTGTTTCACATTTCATCGATTTTCTAGAAATCGTTATAATTTCTTTCCTTTGAAAATGACGTCAAACGAGGACTCGGAAACGTTGATATGCTACTAATTGCCTTCATGCCAACGATGAATCAAATATTTTTCACAAGAAGTGTGTAATACTTTCGTTAAAATAGTTGATGGTGATAAATGTAACATTTATTAAATTATAAACACAGTCTATCAGATTTACGTAATTTAAAATAAATTGTCCTACAGATAATACAAACAGTGTAAAACTAATTCTTAACTTAAATTCGAATATGTACACTTGTAATTGAAACATTCGAAACTTAAGTGAAGTTCACAGAATAAAATACTACATAAACAGGATGCTTTTACAAGAGTACAATATAATTCAAAGCTTCTACTTTGACCAAAAAAGAAACCAATCGCAATGGAACTCGGATCGCCAATTTTCGCAATTTCATCGTCGAATGACGAGTCGTAATCGTTTACCCAGAGATCGATCCTCTAATCATCGTCGAGTGTGTCACACGTGGTCGCGTAATATCCTAGTGCAAATGTTTTCCCACACGTAACACCGTCGGAACGTTCACATCCGTTTTGGTGATACGGCTGTTCAAGGACCGGGATGTAAAACGCGCCAAAGGTGCTCGAGAATGGTTACGACAGCGAGCAGAATTTATGGAATTTCGTGAACGTTCAACGGCTCGATAATTGCGCTAATTGTGGAATTAATTATTTAATTCCCACTACACTGACTTACATTCTGCACGCGTCGCGACGGAGAAGAGTTTTTCGAAGATAAGAATGCACTTCTTGTTTACTGTTTCCTATTCCGTCGATGTAGATTATGATTCTAATGTTACTTGAACGTCGAGGAATTCTTATTGCAGAGCAATAGCGTTCCTCGTAATATTCTTTATTTGCAATGTTGTAAAGGAGACGATATTTGAAATTATTGCATAGTTCGGACTCTACTGTCGCAAATTTTCAAATAAGTTTTGTCACGTCACTATCATAAGCTTGTTTGCACTCAAACGATCTTTATTGGGTGTTTTAGTAATTGCTACCTTTTTTCGTTTTCTCTTTTTATTCTTCGTTGAAAAATAGGTTGAAAATGTAGTATGGAATTTTTTTTAATGTGAGATCTTGTTTTCGAGAAAATCTCTCTTGAGAATTCTTAGAGTACGCGTCTGTTCGTTGCTTTCTTGTTCTACTTCTGTCTCTACTACTGGCTGTGCCCAACTCGTCTGTTCATTGTTCCCTAATTCTACTTCAAAATTCTACTTAAAAATGACCAAATGTACTTTAAAACATACCTGAAGTACTTTCAAAGTTAAACAAGAATTAATTAAATTTTGCTCTGAAAAAAGATATCACAAAGAAAACTTAATATTTAGCTTCCCAACGTGGTTTCCTTTCTTAATCCCAATCGGAGTGTCAGAATGCTAATCGTTAGACACCGAGACATCCGGATGTTTAGCATTGCGTGACGGCGCGTTACAAAGTACCGTATCGATGAAGAAAGTAAGAGCGGCTCCTTGGGAAGGAAGTCTTGAATTTAGGTGACGTTGGTCGAAACGAAGCGAGCGAAAGCGTCTCTCTAGATAAAATTCCGGCTAGCGTGCTGCGCCTACGACAATCTTTCTTCTCGTGCCTTATCCGCCATCGAACCCCTTTCTTTCACTTCGAACGATCGAGCAGTAAAAGAATCTATTTGCTGGACCCGACTTTCATATTTGTTTCAATATTGTATATACCTTGTCGACTCCTATATACAGGGTGAGTCTACTAAGCTTTGTACCTCAAATATCTCCTACAAGACTACAGTATTGCAAATACCTCATTCTATTTGGAAGAACATTGATGACCTTGAAATATCGAAAAGTAGGGCCTTGGGCTAATTTTTTTGTCTGCCATGGTATGTGCCCCTTCGAACCAAGCATTTTCCTCTGGAAGAAGAAAGAATTTAAGAAAATTGGATGTCAAAGATTGTTGACAGAAATGTTTGTATTCATTTCGAATATTTTCAAAAGACATCAGATTCAGGAAGAATTTTCAAACTCGAGTTGAGAGCGATTTGGAAAGACCTTCTGGGGAGCAGATTGCCAAAAGAAGTTCTTCTTTATCCCTTTTCGCTCGTCTCCGATTTGTCATCCACTTTCACCGGTGCTTGAATAATAATTCGTGGTGTAACCATATTGTGGTTCCTGGGCGTCACGGTGCCCGAATAGCGAGAGTGTTCCAAATAAAAATTCTCGCAATAAATAAGGTCACGTCGTCTCCTCGCAATTAAGAAGAAAAGAACTTCTTCCTGAGTCATGTAGCATTCGTTTCACATTTTCTCCTTTATCTTCTTTTACCTTCTCTAACTTTAATTGCTGGTGTACATATGCATTAATATGTTTACTACTTTCATAATATTATCTTAAATCTTATTGCTTCTTTCTGAACTTTTTTAATTATTTCGATAAACAAAAATTTTAATATTATTATTGCATATCATTTCGTTGATTAAATTTCATGTTTACGTTGACTTTGCACTCGTTAACATTGTGTACACGTTACCTATATATTGTTAATATTTAATATTTGAACCTTTAGGTTTATTAAGCTTTAGAATTTTTAATTATAACAGCAAAACCAATGTTTTCTACGTTTCAACTTCTTACTATGAAATACATTTTCTGTTCCTAATTCGTTTCATGTTACAAATGAAACAATTATATATTTTACGGTATGTATTAAACATAAAATTACATAGTGCACCTGTGGAATCTAATAATGAGTTTGAAGAGTTAAATTGAAAACAACGAATCGTTGCTTATGAGACCGAATGCGCGGCTTCTTGGACTTTCCAATTGCCCACACTCGGCTTAATTAGATATCGATTTCTTCTCGATTTCTTTCGCGCGAATCCTCCGTTCGCGCGAGTGATTTTCACATTCGCCCGATACTCAGCGTACTCGAATCGAATATGGTCCCCGGTAATCGACCTTGACAGTTTTCTCTTCATGGTCTTGTTCAGAGACACAATAGACAGCAGTCGTTGTCTTTTTCTGGAATTAGCAGTCGTTGTTAATTGCCCTAAATCGCCTCCTAACTGCTCGAAGGAACGAGCAAACCGTGCAAAATCACCGTCGAAACGGGAAGAGAATTCTTTGGACGAAACCAGTTCGTGGAATAAGAGACGTAACTTCTTTTAAAGTAATTTTCTTCTCTTGCGTCGTATTCTTTTCTTTCGTATCAATTGGTATCTCAAACTCATTGACCTTATCACTGTTCGTATCATCTTTTCCCGTTTTTATTCGCCTCTACCAATTTCCCTAAACACCGTGGATTTCGAAAACGCGTAAAAAGTATCCTGGCTCCTTTCGTCAGGCAAAGGTTAATCGGTGATTCACCGTTTACCGACGAAGAAAAAAGAAGAAATCGACGCGGGGAGACGCGGCTGCGATCGAAGGACGATCGTATCCTTTCGACCAGCTCGATTTTCCCGTTCGAAGAGACAGAGAGAAGACTCGAGCAGCCGGTGTCGACCTGGTGGGGGACACACGAGAGAGTTTTACCTACCGAAATGAAACTACTCGGCGGAGAAAGTGAGAGCCGACGTAGCGGACGGTGGGCAACGACGAGCAGGCGACCAGGGCTCCTCGAGACGAGAGGATAGACATGGTGGTCCCTCCTTCGCGTGGATCCTCCTAACCCTTGAACAAATCTTCCGGTTGATCCTGTGCTTCGATTCATTCGAAGAGTCGTCGACGAAACAAGAAAACATTCTGGATCAAACGGAAAAAGAGAAGCGAAGAACATTTGGACACTCCGAACACGAAGATCTACACAGGATATTCAAAGAGTGAATTCTTCTGGACGTTGCTTTCTTCTTCTTCTGGAGGATCCTTCGGTTTTCGATCAACTTTGAATTGTGCATTGCTGGAAAGAAGAAAGAAGGAAGAGAAGAAGATGAAACTATGAAGAAGATCGTCGGTGACTGTAAGACATCGGGACACGTTGGGTATGATATGGTACAATGATCGGGTGTAATTGATCGTAGTTCGCCGCGGGTGTCGCGTAATTCGAGTGAGAACCGCGATAGAGGAACTACTGGATACCTCGTGTTCGTTGTTGTGTTATGGTGGTGAGGACTGTTCAGAGTAGACGCGGAAGAAAACGAGGAAGAAGAAGAGACGGTGGAAGGATCCACGCAAAGAATTCTTCCCGAGGGTTCGAAGACAAGCGGAGAAATCGTCTAGAAGAAATTAGAACGGATAGGATTGCTTTGGTTCGAAAGATCGGTAAGTGCAGTACTACGATTCTTTCAGCTTTTTAAATTACAGACATATATATAAAAGGTACGAAGGATATTTGAAAAATCACGATGGAGTGATTCCATCTTGTTTTAAATGACAAAAACGAACCTTTGGTATTTTGGGATGAAACTTGAAAATTCCTTGGGATTTGAGAAAATAATAATCAGAAGTTTAAAGAAAGTTAAATAAATAAATAACAATCGTTCTAGCTTCTTCTAACATTTGAACGGTTTCCTAATTTGTAGTTCTTTTCAGAAATAAGTAACTTTACAATGAAAAGTAAATGTCTTTGATGATTATAGAGAATAGTGTTGAAAATAAATAAACGATTCATGAAAGGCTTCAATAGAATAAAATTGAGATTGTCAAATCTCAAAATTCAATCAAAATTTGACAATACGTAATTATCTCATTTCCAATCTCACTGTTATACAAGTGACATCTTTTGTGATTCTGATATTAGTAGCATTTATTTCATTAATTTTTGTTTCATAATTGTGTGTAGTTTCTCTATCCGCTTTAGTTAATGAAGTATTTCATATACGAATAGATATCAGATTAACGAGCTTGAAACCACATTGTTTTAAACCAGATGCAATTTTTGTATCGTGTGCGTCAGCATTAATATCCAAAGAAGACTTAAAAATAACGTTTAAATGTTACTTACTAATTTTTATGAATAATGCGGAAAGAATAAACATTTATAAAACAATAAAACTACAACAATAAAATTAATAATGATTAATACAAACGTGGGAAGGAGAAATACTTTAAACACGATAGAACGTGAGATGTTGATAATAATTAACAACAACGAGGGAAAGGAGAAATGCTTAAAAAATGATAAAATGTGAGACTCTTCGAAACAGCACGCGCAGGAGATCGTAACACAATAGCCGAGGCGATAGTCATTGGAAAAATCGAGTGAAAGTGAGAAGACCTGGATCAGCTTTTGAAAGAAAGCCTATCCCGTCTGTCCGCCATGCAAAACGTCCGTTATAAGGTAAACGAAACTAGTGATTTTAATGCCTGACCGAAGCAGCTATTACGAATAAATCGTTGGCCTTTGCCGCAACCTTCGCCGCGATTCGAGTTTCCACGGATGGGAGATTAATGGACGGAAACATTGTGCGAATGCAATTTAACGGGATCCTATTACTGTTTTAATGGCCGCTCTTGCGTGATGCATTGCCGCATAATAAAATCTCCCAATTACCGCTATTTGAAGTCATTCGAGACGTCACATTGGTTTTCGGCCGCTGGAGAAATTAGAAACATTAGGTTTCTCGGTATTTCTGATGGAAACTGTACACACAGAGGATCTTGGAATACGTGGGACGAAAAAGTGAATCGAAAATGTACGGTAAAATTGTTTTCTATCAGCTATTCGAAGTCATTCGAGACGTCACATTGGTTTTTGTCCGCTGGGGAAAATGGAAACATTAGGTTTCTTGTCGTTTCTGGTGAAAACGTGGTGAAATACGTGGTGTGAAAAGGTGAACCGAAAATATACAGTAAAATTATTTTCTACGATCAATTCGTTTTCGACAAAATTGATTGCGAACCTGGTCTATTTAAAGAGAGTTTCAAATTACCGAAAAGGACTTTCGATATTCGTGTATAATTAATCCAGGCTGACATCCTGCGTATACTGTAAGTAGACACACGAAAGCTTTGTTTGTTTCCACAAATTGAGCAACATTGGAGTAAGATTTCTCGTTACAAATGATCGAATTGAAAGCATCGTTTCTTTTAAATAAACGAGTTTCTACCGTGCAATAGTATGAAACATAATAATAACGTAAAATATTCAAGAATTACTAAACAATATCACGGATATTCACACTTCTCCAAGTATCGAAGTTACGCTGAAGAAACGAGAAGGATATTCAGAGAAAAAGTGAGATTTCTCGTCGCGAATCGCCGATGGCTCGTAGCCATCGAAATGTTCAACTTTCCGACCTCGTAGCCAGTGAAAGTACTTCCGTTCTTTTCCAAAACGAGACGGGCTAGGGGACGAGCATTAAGGATGCACGGTTCGGTACCGTTCGACGGATTGCCTAAACACCACTCCTCGTTTACGTAACACTGTTCGATAGAAGTTTAAAGAAGAGAAACGTCAACCACGAAACGTGTCGTCTTTCACGACCCATAGGAACACGTTCCTATATTTTGTTCTAGCATTCCACACTCGATCAGGCGATTCTAGCGAGTTTCGCGGATTCGCTACGAAAACCAATTAAACGCTACTTTTTACAAGGTACTAACCATCTGTTCAGCTTTCCGGTAAGGGTAAGCGACGCTCGTGAATATTCAATTGGACGCGGGCACGCGTTCCGACACACTTTTTCTTTATTTTCATCTGACTACTGCTGGGATTACGCTGTTCGTGAGCGAATTAATTTCTCCTAGAAAGTAACAATGCATGATCGTTCCGCGCTCCAGCGCCACTGGAATAGTTCTTCGACGAAGAGAAGAAATAATTCTTGTCGGTAGACAGGGTGATGGGGAACCTTTCAGAATTTCAAGGCTGCGTAGAATTGTACAGATATCTCGTGCGGCCACGTACTTCTACTGTTTGTCAATATTATGAGGGAATGGTCATTTAAATAAAAGCTTATTAGAAAGGGACTTCGGGGTTCAAAGATTTTTAAGATATTCGAGTTCTAGAATTTTTGTTATTTAATGATAAAATACGCTTAGCTGTAGTTGTGATGGGTATTTAAATGACGTCATCTTTCACGTTTTATTATAATAATTTGTATTTGAAATTTAAAAAAGTGATGTGATATATTCCGTATCATGTATGTTTTATTGAAAAGAAAGTCTCAAAATCTCTTTTGGAAGATCTATTGGTATAAGTATTATTTGTGAATTGTTCATTTCGTATCAAATTATATAAAAAAGTGCAATTCCTAGTAACAACGTGAGTGAACCTGACCGCTGACGTCATATTGAGGGATTACTGTATTTGGTGCGTATAATTTCAACGTATAAACATTCGAATATTTTGTGCACTGATCTGGATATTCGCAGTAGTATTTAAGTATTAAACGTGGGCTATAAATTAAGTAGACCTAATCCTAGCGCAAGTATATGAATACTTTCATTTATGAATGTTTCATGGAACTATATTCGAATACTCAGTTATTCAAAATTTATTCGTAGCATTTACATACTTATAAAATATACAATACACAATTAGTAAAATATGAGGAAAGCGAACACAAAGAACTCGTCCCTGAGCTAGATTCATCGGTGACTGACGCTAATTACTTTGAGATGTTCTTTCCTTTTCTGAAATATCTAATAAAACGCAAATGTTGTTGAGAAAATATATTTGTAAAGTATTAGCAGTAGTCAGCCATTTCTTCGGTATTCTGTTCTGAGAAAAAACGAAACACTCGATCCTAAGGAATCAAGTAAATATATGTGTTACAAATATAAATAGTCAGTATTGCTTGTAAATATTCAAATACAGAATATAAATGTTTGACAGTCGATTCATAATCCTCTTCAGGATGACGAGTTACACAATGAATTCTAAAAGTAAGAAACGTATTTATGATAGAGAAAGAAGTGTTGCTGATAATAGACAACGTTAGTTACATAAAAACATAAAATATTTGCTTATAACAGAAGCACAATTTCAACTCTTATTTAGATAGACTGACTTTTGTTACAAGAAGATATTTACTTTTTAACATTATCGGTTATAAATCGGCTGTAAAATCAGATCCCGATTCACGAACACGCTATTTCCGAGAGTTGAAGAAATGTTCCTTGAACGCTTCTGAATAGTAGTTGAATAAAAAGAACGAGTAAATAAGGAGATCTTGAAGCACTCTTTTTCATCGGTCTCGCGATAGATGATGGTGCAATGGAATCGTTCTACCCAAAAGCAGAAAACGACGAACGATCCGCGGAAGAAGATGAAGAAGAGGCAGAAGAAGAAGAAAAAGTTCGTTACACAATGGAAAGTGTTCGTCACGAAAGGGTATCCGTGAACTAGACCGCAAAGAAGCGTAGCTCTTTCAAGGCCACGAAGTAAGAGCAGAAGCTGTGACGTTCAGATTTCTTCGAACCGGTTTCCTTCGAAAGGTGGAACGCCTACCCAGCTTGGACTCGAGCTGTTAAAGGGCCAGTATTTCTACAAGAAAACTAAAACAAGAAAGAATCGACCGCGATTTCTGTTTTCAAATGATCTACAATCCCACAGTGACTCGAAACCCCTAAAACGTGAACTAATAAATCGCTTCCTACATGAAGCATATTATTATAACGCGGTATTGCGGTATTGCGGTAATACTGCCAATATTGCGCCCCGTATAAAAATAGTCGATCTGTACGTCTAACATATACTAAAGATCAAATCAAAGGTTTTTAAATGAGGTTTTAAGTTATTAACATTTTAAATGTCATATATCTTTCTTTAACGAAGTCAGATTTTTGTTATACTTCTTGATTGTAATTCAATCAAGTCTAACCGTGACGTGTGCATCTAATGCGTGCAGTTGTAAGGTTGATTTGTTAATTAAATGTTCTATTTGTCAAAAATGTTTCTTCTTTAGAAAATTTTTGTGTCAACTTTCAAAGTAAGTAAACGAGAATTTGTTGAATATTCTAAAGAAAGGTTTGTGAAATTTAATATGTCATAAGTTGCGATTTCACTAAAAAATGTTCATGCGTTATAAATATTTACGATGCATGTTCACCATGACGATAAAATCATTATTATAAGGATCTGTACACCTACAGAAACACATTTTATTTAATACTACCTGAGAAGTGATTGTGGGTCACATGTCACGCCAGCACAACCATTTTAAAACGAATTATAATTCAATTTAGGTCTTTCATATAAAAATGTCGGGAGCACTATATGTTACATCCTAAGAAGTTTCTAAAATCTCTTTTATCGCAATGAACAACTTATAAAAAAACAGTGCTATACACAAGTGTGATTCTAGATTGAAACTAACGAC